GGTAAATGGGAATTCTGTTTATTTAACAATTTTTCTATAAGCCTAAACTGCTCTTAAAAATAGTCTATTAAGGGGCGCCTGGGTGGCTCAGTTGTTAGGCGTCTGCCTTCAGCTCAGTTCATGATCCCAGGGTCCTGGGATGGAGCCCCACATTGGGCTCCCTGCTCCGTGGGGACCCTACTTCTCCCACTCCCTCTGCCTCTCCCCCTGCTTGTGTTCCTTCTCTCGCTTTTCTCTGTCAAATAAATAAAAATCTTTAAAAAAATAGTTTATTTAAAAAAAATTCAAGGATGAGGGGGGCACCTAGGTGGCTCAATCAGTTAAGTGGCTGCCTTCAGCTCAGGTCATGATCTCAGGGTTTCTGGGATTGAGCCCCACATCAACATCATCCATCATCAAACTCCCGCTCAGAGGGGAGTCTGCTTCTCCCTCTCCCTCTGCCCCTCCCCCCTGCTTGTGTGCTCTTTCGCTCTCTCTCAAATACAATCTTAAAAAAAATTCAGGGATGAGAAAAAGATGTACCATGAATACACGAGAAAAATGAACATAAGAAAAAATAACTAAGGAATATTCAGATGCTCTGAGAGAAACGAGAGCTTGAACCAAAGAATGAAAGGCAAGAAAGCGTGTGCCCTGAAAACCCAGTTTACACCCGTCATCAGGTGTACACAGGGGTGGTTCCAGGACTGACCGACTCAGTACCATCAGGACTGGCCTGCTGCCTTTGGTGTGGCTAAATCATACCAAACTAAAACTGTTCCCTGGCCATCTGTCCTACTGAGAAGGCTGTGCACCAGTCATCACTGTTCATTAGGGGGAAAGAACCTGGATGAGAAGGTTCTGCCCTCGGGAAAATGTTTCAAACACTCAGTTTTACATCTGAGCAATTTTTTGGCAAGAGCTGGACTTGGGTACCAGAAAGACAGATGGGGAATCACCCCTGTACTTCATGTTACTTTAACCAAGCAACAAAGATGTAAATAATCATCAGAGAAACCCACTGACCTCAATATCTTCCCAATTAACTTCAATAATCTTTCATTCAGCAAATAACCCAATAGGCACTCAAGACCAAGCTGTGAGCAAGGGAATCTTGGTCTGCCTTCCATAGGAGCTTCTCTCTCGCATTCTGCCTTCCGTGGAAGGCGCCTTTCAGACAGTAAGCTCAAGTTCAGGTCCAACTCCCTGTAGCAGACAGTGATGGACTGGGGGAGTGAGGCACAGAGTAGTAAGCTCATCACAAGAAGATCTGAAGGCTGGGAAGTTTTGGGGAGCAGCAACAGAGATGAAAACCTAGGAAGGAGAGTAGTGAGAGATGAGGCAGGCTGAAATCAGAGACACCCTGATCCACAACCACATGAAGAAGCCTGTAGTTTAACCACAGACAGGAGGTGGGAAACCACCAGAGGGTTTCAAAAGGAGAATGACTTGTCTGTAATGAACTTTTTTTTTTAAGATTTCATTTCCAAGTAATCTCTACATCCAGCGTGGGGCTCAAACTCACAACCCTAAGATCAAGAGTCTCATGCTCTACCAACTAAGCCAGCCAGGTGCCTCCTGATGTACTTTTTCTGATCTAGAACTAATTTAAATCTTCCCCTAACCCTTTCAAAGTTGGCTTTTAATTTATAGAACCAAAATATTGATGAGAATGTGACTTAAGGTCTAAATAATTTTTAACTAGTAAGACTCCATTGTGCGTAAATTAGGCATCAGCAAAATGAAAAACTTTTGTGATTCAAAGGGACATAATTTAAAAAGTGAAAAAGAGGGGTGCCTGGGTGGCTCAGTTGTTAATCTTCTGCTTTCCTCTCAGGTCATGATCCCAGGGTCCTGGGATCGAGCCCCGCATCAGGCTCCTTGCTCCGTGGGAAGCCTGCTTCTCCCTCTCCCACTCCCCCTGCTTGTGTTCCCTCTCTCGCTGTCTCTCTCTCTCTCCGTCAAATAAATAAAATCTTTAAAAAAATAAATAAAAAGTGAAAAAGACAACCTACAATATAGAGAAAAATTTGAAAATCATGTATCTGATAAGAAACCTGTACTTAGAATATATAAAGAACTACTAGCACTCAATTATATAAAGACTTCAATTAAAAAAAATCACAGTCCAAGCTTGTAAAGGATTATGATAACAAAGTGACCTATAAATAAGAAAGCTGTTTCAAGTTCAGACCCAGAATGATAAAACATGCAATGTACAAGAGTGGTAAGAGGATTGAAGAAGAGAAAGAAGGGAAGTGGGAGGAGCTCTGTATAAAAAGCATCGTTGTAAAGCAAAACCCAATTTTTCATTTTTTTAAATTTTATTTTATTATGTTAGTCACCATACATTACATCATTAGTTTTTGATGTAGTGTTCCATGATTCACTGTTTGCATATAACACTCAGTGCTCCATGCAGTAGGTGCCCTCTTTAATACCCATTACCCGGCTAACCCGTCCCCCCCCCCCCTCCCCCCCTAGACCCCCCACTTTTTTTTTCCAGTCCCTCCGCTCCCATTGTTTTTCTCCCCCTCCCCTTTCCGCCCCCTTCATTTTTCCCTTCTTACTATCTTCTTTTTTTTTTTTTTAACATATAATGTACTATTTGTTTCAGAGCTACAGGTCTGTGATTCATCAGTCTTACACAATTCACAGCGCTCACCATAGCACACACCCTCCCCAATGTCCATCACCCAGCCCCCCTATCCCTCCCACCCGCCTCCCCTCCAGCAACCCTCAGTTTGCAAAACCCAATTTTTCTAAATGGGCAAATGAACTGAACAGTTTCCTCAAAGAAGATACAGAAATTGACATCAAGCTCATGAAAAAATGTTCAACGCGGTTAGCCATTAGGAAAAGACAAATGAGAACCACAAGGAGATAACCCTTCACAACCACTAGGGGGTGACTTATAATCGAAAAGACCGATGATGATGACAAGTTTTGGCGAGGATGGGGAGCCATCAGAGCCCTCATCCACTGCAGCGCGATCCTCAAGTAAATGGTGCAGACCCTTTGGAAAACAGTCGGGCCTGGAGGTGGTCAAATAGTGAAACAGTGTTACCGTGTGACCCAGCAATCCCACTCCCAATAGACGCTCAAGAGAAATGAAAACGGAAGAAAAAAGAGAGAGAGAGAGAGAGAGAGAGAGAGAGAGAGAGAGAGAGAGAGAAATGAAAACCTGTATCCAAATGTGCGCACCCTCCGCAAGGCGTCCAACCAGCTCCCGCCAGCCTCCAGGAGGGACGCTGACCCGCTCCTCTAGCGCCCCCTCTGGTCTTCCGGAGGGCAGGCCGATGTTGTAGAAGGTAGGCTGTGCCCCAGCGGGAACCCTGCACCCTTTTCTGCAGAGACTGTCACTAGCTTTATTTAAAAGTATTAAAGAAGCTGAAGCGCCTAGCGCAGTACCAGGCATCGGGGGATGCGCTAACACTGTTCGCTATTGTTATGTTTCTTATCTCTAATTAATTGGACGTGGGCATTGGTAGCAGTGGGTTCTAAGTGGTTTGGGGGAAAAGTAGGGTAAATAAAAGTGCTTTGAGACTGAACTGGGCGCCAAGTTGGCTTACTCTTCTGAATCAAATGATTACTAACATTAATGTATTGCTTATATATGCCAGGGACTATGCTGAGTGCTTTATATGTGCATCATCACCTGAAATTCTCTCAGCCACCCTGGAACCTGGGAAACTCAGTGAATTAGTCCTTTGGAAGTATTAAATAATAAAACCAGTAGTAATATAAAGACTGGACTGGAAGCCCTTACAATAATCTGAGTAGGCAGAGTGAGTAATAGAAGAGGACAAAATTCGGAGAATAGTAAAATCAATCCCATGTGTATAAATCTTGATTTTCACTGCATTACATTGCTTCTTTCTGGAAAATAGGAGGCTGGAAGAGCAGTAAATGATCGATCCTGATATGAGATGACTTATTTTTTTTATTAAAATAAAATGTGTAAGAATGAAAAAATACTTGCCTTGAACAAGATGGAATAAGAATGGCAAAGCAAACAAACAAACAAAACCATAAAGAAACCCACAGTATCCTTGACACATCAGACCCTATGTTTTGTTTTTTTTTCTGTTTTAAAGATTTTATTAATTTGAGAGAGAGAGCACAAAAGAGAGCACAAGCAGAGGGGTAGGGGTAGAGGGATCAGGAGAAGCACACTCCCCACCAAGCAGGGAGCCTGACCTGGGACTCAATCCCAAGACCCTGGAATCATGACCTGAGCCGAAGGCAGGCGCTTAACCGACTGAGCCACCCAGGCGCCCCACATCGGCCCCTATGTTGTGGACTCTGGACTTGGCACTTTATGTGCATCTTCTGATTTTATCCCTCCCACAAAATCTGGATTGGCCTGTGCAGCCAGCCATCAGCTGCTCCTGCCCCCTCAGCGCACCTTATACGTCCGTGTTTCCAAAACCCAATCTCCTCCCCATAGTCATGGGTTCCCCAAACATGCTCCATACCTATGATTTCAATGAGTGGCAAAATCTTATTTTTGCCATTAACAAAAAAAGAGAAGAAAAATCTTTCTGGCATTTTGTTGAGGGAGTTGGGATGAGGGCAGCTTTGAATTCCTAACACCGATCTCTGCTATTTTTTGCACATCCTGGGGATAAGGTGAACTTCACCTGGACCTAAGGAACAAAGCAGCAAATCAAGGGTGTGTTTCCCCTTGCTCTTAGGAAAGAAAGAGCTCTCAGTTCATTCTGGGCCTGGCTCCAGGACTTCTCCGGCTCAGCCCAAGCCCCCCACTTTCTCACCCAGGCATCAGCACCTCCTTACCCCCAGGAGTTGACACAATTCAGCTCCTGTAGGGGTTGGGGGTCTCCCCTCCAAGCAGCAGGAAATGGGGCATGGGGGTGGGGAGGCCAGCTCCAGGCCCCGGGGCGGAGGGAGGGGGTGGAAATGCTCACACTGAGAGTCTGTGAGTGATCTGCAGAGGGCGTTTGGCTCTACACTCAGCCCTGTTTCCTGACAGCCTTAAACTGAAAGAAAACTACAGTTCAACAAATTCACTTTCGGTTTCCAAAAGACGTGAGCAAGAAAGAATCGGAGGGAACAGGCTTGTGGGACTGAGGAGGGATAGAATGTGCTTCCCAGCCCTTCAGCCTCTGGAGAAAGGCTAGCCCCCCTTGCAGGGCAAGGCGGAAGCCGGGAGAATTTATCCCGAGGGGCCGCCTGGGCTGGTAGAGATGGCACTCTTTCAGGCCCTGTATGACACCCCTGCAGACAAGCTGTCTGCCTTCGTGGGGCAGAAACTTCAGCCCGAGGAGGACTGGAAGGAGGAAGTGAAGGATACCTGGCAGAGAATTGAGCATTTCTTCCGGGAACAGTGCTTCCGAGATGAGCTGGTTCTAGACCAAGAAGTCAGGGTGCTGAAGGTGGTGAAGGTGAGCACCTGGGGACTTAAGATTGAGTTTGAATCCTAACCTGTTACTTGGGGACCATGTGACCTTGGGGGAGAGTTCGTTTCATCTCTGGACTCCCCCTCTTTAATCCAGATCTGTTGTAAGGAATAGATGAGATAAACTGTGGGAAAGTGCTTTTAAACTGTAAATTATCCTACAAATCTGAAGGAGGATGATGGTGATTATTGGGGATCCAGCTGATTGCCCGGGTGACAGGTGGAATGTGAATAACAAGTCTCTTATAAAATGTATGTGTTTGTTTCTTGTTTAAGAAGACCTGTAGGGGCGCCTGGGCGGCTCAGTTGGTTAAGTATGGGACTCTTGGTTTCCGCTCAGGTCATGATCTCAGGGTCGGGAGATGGGGAGATAGAGCCGCACTGAGGCTCTACTCTCAGCACGGAGTCCTCCCTCTCCCTACCTCTCTGCCCCTCCCTCCGATCGTGCTCTCTCTCTCTCTCTCTCTCTCGTGCTCTCTCGCTCTTGCTCTAAAGGCTCCTGTTGGGGACTGTAATTGATGTTTCCTCAGGTTTACAATTCTGTTGGGGCCTGTAATTGACAATTCCTATAATTGGAGTTGGTACCACTCCCCCTACTGGCCTCCCCCTCTGGTCTCAGACTCCTTTTTGTGAGGCTTCCCTTAATTTTCATATATCTAATTTCTTAAGTAAATCAAGCTTTACCTAGGGGTGGTATTGTTAGGAGCTAATTGGACACTTAGGTTTCAGGGCCACAGTCCCCAACAAGAAAACAGGGAGCCAGGACAGCTAGAACAAAACCACGCTGGCATCCTGTTTTACAGTTTAGACAAGACCACAATAGCATCCTGTCTAACAGCCTCTGTAGGGGTGACTCTTACAAAATATCCTGAAACAAAACAATTAACCACAAAACATTGATCAATATCACAAGTTGAGACAGGTGGTCTCCAACACGGTAACAATAACCTGATAGGTAGACCGGTGCATGATCAAAGCCCTGATTGGCACACCTTAGTAGCCAATCCACAGGGGGCCCACACTCAGGATGCTCAAGATAGTTCTGCAAAAGAGTTTATTTAAAAAAAAAAAAAAACCCTGGATTGGAACAACAAAACGGCAAAGCTCTCGGTTCCCCTCCCTCACCAGGAGCTTTATTCTCCCCCAGAAGAGAGAGAGGGGCAGAAGGTGTATTGGAGCAAATTATATCAGAGAACTTCCCTAATCTGGGGAAGGAAACAGGCATCCATGTCCAGGAGGCACAGAGAAACCCCCTCAAAATATGCACCCAAGAATACTTTTTCCAGCTAGGATGTCATTCAGAATGGAAGGAGAGATAAAAAGCTTCCAGGACAAACAGAAAATGAAAGAATTTGTGATCACCAAATCAGCCCTCCAAGAAATCTTAAAAGGGATCCTTTAAGTGAAGAGAGAGCCCAAAAGTAGCATAGACCGGAAAGGAACAGACAATATACAGAAACAGTGACTTTACAGGTAATACAATGGCACTAAATTCATATCTTTCAGTAGTTACTCTGAATGTAAATGAGCTAAATGTCCCAATCAAAAAACACAGGGTATCGGATTGGATAAAAAAGTAAGACCCATCGATATGCTGTCTGCAAGAGATTCATTTTGTGTTTTTTTTAAGGTTTTATTTATTTATTTGATGGAGAGAGAGAGAGGACAAGCAGGGGGAATGGCAGGCAGAGGGAGAGGGAGAAGCAGGCTCCCCACAGAGCAGGGAGCCCAACACGGGGCTCGATTCCAGGACCCTGGGATCAAGACCTGAGCCGAAGGCAGATGCTTAACCAACTGAGCCACCCAGGTGCCCCAAGAGACTCATTTTAGACCCAAAGACGCCTCCAGATTTAAAGTGAGGAGATGGAAAACCATTTATCATACTAATGGACATCAAAAGAAAGCTGGGGTGGCAATCCTTATATCAAACAAGTTAGATTTTAAACCAAAGACTGTAATAAGAGATGAGGAAGGCTCTATAACATAATTAAAGGGTCTATCCAACAAGAAGATCTAACAATTGTAAATATTTCTGCCCTTAACCTGGGAAAAGCCAAGTGTGTAAACCAATTAACAAAATTAAAGAAATGCATTGATAATACAATAATAGTAGGGGACTTTAACACCCCACTCACTGCAATGGACAGATCATCTAAGCAGAAGATCAACAAGGAAACAAGGGCTTTGAATGCCACACTGGACCAGAGGAACTTCACAGATATATTCAGAACATTCTATCCTAAAGCAACAAAATACACATTCTTCTCAAGTGTACATGGAACATTCTCCAAAATAGATCACATACTGGGTCACAAATCAGGTCTCAACTGGTACCAAACGACTGGGATCATTCCCTGCATATTTTTGACCACAATGCTTTGAAACTGGAACTCAATCACAAGAAGAAATTTGGAAAGAACTCAAATACATGGAGGCTAAGGAGCATCCTACAAAGAATGAATGGGTCAACTAGGAAATTAAAGAATTTAAAAAATTCATGGAAACAAATGAAAATGAAAACACACCTGTTCAAAACCTTTGGGATGCAGCAAAGGCAGTCCTGAGGAAAGTATATAGCAATACAAGCCTTTCTCAAGAAACAAGAAAGTTCTCAAATACACAACCTAACCTTACACCTAAAGGAGCTGGAGAAAGAACAGCAAATAAAGCCTAAACCTAGCAGGAGAAGAGAAGTAATAAAGACCAGAGCAGAAATCGATGAAATAGAAACCAAAAGAACAGTAGAACAGATCAACGAAACTAGGAGCTGATTCTTTGGAAGGGTTAATAAGATTGATAAACCCCTAGACAGACTTATCAAAAAGAAAAGAGAAAGGACCCAGATAAATAAAATCATGAACAAAAGAGATCACAACCAACACTGAAGAAATACAAACAATTATAAGAACATCCTATGAGCAAATATATGCCAACAAATTAGGGAATCTGGAAGAAATGGATGCATTCCTAGAGACATATAAACTACCAAAACTGAAACAGGAAGAAATAGAAAACCTGAACAGATAAAGGGCTAGTATCCAAGATCTATAAAGAACCTATCAAACTCAACACCTAAAAAACAATAATCCAATCAAGAAATGGGCAGAAGTCATGAATAGACATTTCTCCAAAGAAGACATACAAATGGCCAACAGACACATGAAAAAATGCTCACCATCACTCAGCATCAGGGAGATACAAGGCTAGATACCACCTCACACCAGTCAGAATGGCTACAATTAACAAGTCAGGAAACCACAGATGTTGGCGGGGATGTGGAGAAAGGGGAACCCTCCTACACTGTTGGTGGGAATGCAAGCTGGAGCAACCCCTCTGGAAAACAGTATGGAGGTTCCTCAAAAGGTTGAAAATAGAGCTAACCCACAACCCAGCTGGCTATTTACCCCAAAGATACAAATGTAGTGATCCAAAGGGGCACCTGCACCCCAATGTTTATAGCAGCAATGTCCACATTAGCCAAACTATGGAAAGAGCCCAGATGTCCATCGACAGATGAATGGATAAAGAAGATGTGGTGTATGTATATACAATGGCATACTACTCAGCCAGCAAAAAAAAAGAAATCTTGCCATTTGCAACAATGTGGATGGAACTAGAGGGTGTTATGCTAAGCGAAATAAGTCAATCAGAGAAAGACAATTATCATATGATCTCGCTGATATGTGAAATTTAAGAAACAAAACAGGATCATAGGGGAAGAGAGGAAAAAATGAAACAAGATGAAATCAGAGAGGGAGACAAACCATAAGAGACTCTTAATCTCAGGAAACAAACTGAGGCTTGCTGGAGGGGAGGGGAATGGGGGATGGGGTAACTGGGTGATGGACATTAAGGAGGGCACATGAGGTAGTGAGCACTGGGTATTATATAAGACTGATAAATCACTAACCTCTACCTCTGAAATCAATAATACATTATATGTTAATTGAATTTAAATAAAAATAAATAAAAATTAGAAGTCACATACAGTATGATTGTATTTGTTTCAATCTTGAAATGACAGGATTATGGAAATGGAAAACAGATCAGTGGTTTCTAGGGTTTGCGGTGGTCTGGGGAGGGAGGTGGGTGTGACTCTAAAGGAGTTGAAGGAGAAAGTAGAATGGAATAGTTCTATATCTTGATTTCAGTGGTGACTATAGAAATCTACACATATGATAAAATGTCTTAGAACTACATACATTGTATCAGTGTTGATTTCCTGGCTATATATGCATAAGATGTGACCCCTGGGAGGAAACTGGATGAAGAGCCCAGCAGACCTCTCTAAACTATCTTCCTATAAATCTATAATTATTTCAAAATAAAAAACAACTTATTGTATATGGGAGAGAGGAGAAGGGCCAGCCCCCTTCCCTGCCTACTAAAGGAGACCCCCAGGTATCCTTCCTCAGAGGACATGTTCATTTCAGTGTTATTTATCCAGACAAGGAGCAGAGACAACCCCTCAGAACTGTGGGGATTTAGAGGTTGAAGGTGCTTTGCAGGCATTAGCAACAACCACTGAAATGTGTGAGTCTTTAAAAATAGCATTCCCCAGGACGGTGTCTGCCTTTCTACACTTTGGATAAAGAGGGAATAATTTCTGCTGTTCTTGTTGAGATTTCCGTTGACCAAATATTAGGAACATGTAGTTTTCTGGTTGATTCTCTGCAAGGGCATCAGCACTAAGTGGGGGAAAGGACCAGGCAAGAGGAAGATCATTTGCAAATGAACTAAGGGCAGGCAGGACTTTCCATCATCCTCAGTCCCCCTCTAATGGGGGAACTCCATCATCACCTTGTCCATGAATTTGGATGCTTATCCATGACATCTAAATTCCTTTTCCTGCTTGTTTCTTATCCAGGAGGAAAGATTTATGATGCACCTTTCAAGGCTATGGCTGGGCCCCATTCTATGAACACGTATGCTACCGATGCGCCATGTTTCCAGCATCCTTGCATATACACACATGCACACACACAATGTCCAAAAAATATATTTGTGCATACACACACAAGATGTATATACAAAATATATATGTAAAAGTATGTCTGTCTAGGCCAGAGCTGTCCAATAGAAATTTCCTAGTGATGGAAATGTTCTATACATGCACTGCCCATCGCTCTCTGTGGGTGGCTGTTGAGCACTTGAACTGAAGCTAGTATGGCTGAGAAACTGAATTTATAAATTTCATCTCATTCAAATGTAAATAACCACATGTAGCTCTTGGCTACCATATTGCACACCATGGGTTTAGGCATCAAACGTCTCTGGAATGATATATAACAAGCTGGTAACTATGGGTGCCTCTGCCGAAGGAGCTTAGGGCCTCAGGTGCAGTGGAGTTTTACATTTCATTTACATCCTTTGAATAGTTAATCATGTACTTATTTTGTCTAAATCAATGAAAAGATGAGGTCAGCAAAGTCCACCATGTATGGAGGAGACCAAGGGCTCCTTTTGGCACCTATGTAAACAGCCTAATATGGGTGCCTCTGGCTTCACCCCGACCTCAAAGCTTCAGGCTCCAAGGGAGGTGAAGCTTCAACACTAATTTCCTCCACAGGGTGGCTCCTCTGGGAAGGGAACAACATTGAACTACAGCTCCGATGTGGACTTGGTCTTGTTCTTGAGCTGTTTCCCCAGCTTCCAAGACCAGGCAAAGCACCGCAGATTGATCATCAGCTTCATCAAGAAGAGACTGACTCAGTACAGCAGGAGCCTGGCCTACAGCATCACCATGGTCCCGTGGAGAGAGACGAACAGGGTCCCCCGCTCCCTGTCCTTCCAGGTCCAGCCCAGGAAGAACAGTGAAGCCATTGGAGTGGATGTGCTCCCAGCCTATGATGCTCTGGGTAAAGACAATGATGGGTTTGGGACCAGAGAAACTAGTCAGGGGTCCTTCACCAACCCAGCCTTGGGGGAGGTTTAGGAAAGTGGAAACCAGGGAAGAAAGAGTAGAGTTCGCTTTTTTTCTGGGGGGCTGCAACTAGAACTGTATCTTGAAGTTAAGTCCTTCCATAAACTCATGTGCTGCCATGTCCCATGTTGGGGAGATAGGGGACTTCTGGATTCCCACCCAGCCTAAGGAGGACACTTGTCTCTGACCCTCTGGGAAACACCAGGGCAAGCAAGCACTTCAAGATCTTTGGGGTTAGCATTAGATTGGAATCATTTTAAAAACAGGGCTCTTAATGTCTTTTAATTTTGTCTTTAAGACTTACTGTGGGGGCACCTGGGTGGCTCAGTTGTTAAGCGTCTGCCTTCGGCTCAGGTCATGATCCCTGGGTTCTGAGATCGAGCCCTGCATTTGGCTCCCTTGCCTGCGGGAAGCCTGCTTCTCCATCTCCCTCTGCCCCTGCTTGTGTTCCCTCTCTCTCTGTCAAGTAAATAAAATCTTTAAAAAAAAAAAAAAAAAAAAGACTTACTGTGATCTTGGGTAAGGTATCTAACACCTCTAAGACTCAATGTACCAACCTGTTAAATGGGATAATATCAGGTTGAACCATAGGAAATTGACAATATTTGACCATGTTTGATCCACAAAAATGGCACTCCTTATGGTTCCATGTAATTTTACCTACTCCATGGAGCTGTTCTAAGGATTTCATGAGCTTAGCCTACTGCCTGCCACATGGTACGTCTTTGGCCAATGCCAGTTATTTAAAATCTCTGTGACTTTTGAGGGGGCTACCAAACCCCATAAGCTTCCACCTGTTTTGATATAAAACGGGAAAAGGAATGCAGTAGTGAGGACTGCCTGAGATAATTTATGAGGCCTCTACACCTAGCAGTTTTTTCCCAACTTCTTCTCCTCAGAGGGTGGATTTTCTTAAACCAGGTCCTTTTCTCTCCTAGGGCATTTTTGCCCGGACTCTAAACCATCACCAGAAATCTATGAAAACTTAATAACCAGTCATGCCACGCCTGGAGAGTTCTCGCCAAGCTTCACAGAGTTGCAGAGGCACTTTGTGAAAAGTCGACCTGTTAAGCTAAAGGACCTCCTGCGGCTGGTGAAGCACTGGTACCTGCAGGTGCGGGGCTGGGAGCCGGGCTGGTGGGAGCAGGGCTGGCGGGAGCGGGGCTGCGGAGCTGGGAAGTGCCGGGCTGGGAGGTGCAGGGACAAGAGAGAGGGTGGGCGCATGCTAACATTTTCTTTTTAAGATTTTATTTATTTATTAGAGAGAGAGGGACAGAGAGATCATGAGCCATGTGAGGGGCAAGAGGGAGAAGCAGACTCCCCGCTGAGCAGGGAGCCCGATGCGGGACTCAGTCCCAGGACCCTGGGATCATGACCTGAGCCAGAGGCAGACGCTTAACCAACTGAGCCACCCAGGTGTCCCTCCTTTTATACATAGAGAGAGAGAAAGTGCCTGCTTGGGGCGGCTGGGGGCAGGGAGAATCTTAAGCAGACTCCCAGCCGAATGAGGAGTCCAAGGCAGGGCTCTATCTCACAACCCTGAGATCATGACCTGAGCCAAGATCGAGTCAGATGTGTAAGGTACTGGGCCACCTCAGGTGCCCCACCAATGTGATTTTCCACAGACTTCAGACCTCAGGCATTTAATATAACAGCAATGAGTAGAAAGCTACTGTTTATTGAGCATTAATTGTCTTCCATGATCTATACTGAGTGCTCTGCATATTTTTTCTCCGTCTTTCCAACAGCTCTGTAATGTAGGTATCATACATTAGCCCCATTTCGGGGATGAGAAAACTGAGGCTCAAGGGCTAAAGGTGGGCTGAGATTTGAACACAAAGGTGCCCAGCTGTGGGCTCTTAATCAACAAGGCTAGTTTTTAGAATAATAATTTATTTCATAATAATCACTTTTTCTGGTTATTTGAATATTACATTGGGCTCGTGAAAAATTCAAGTAATGAAAAAAAGTATAAAAAAGAAGGTAAAATTCACATGAAATGCCTGAAATGACACCAAAAACATTTTTGGAGACTATGCCTTCATTCCTCTCTTTGTGTTCCCACTGCTCATGCCCACCCTTTGCCCACCCTGTAGTCCACCCTTTGCAAAAATGCAAAGTACTATGCAAGTACTATGATTTCCAAAATGAGACCTTTGGAATTGAACTTTGGGGAGTTAACCTGTTAACATATTTTGCATCTTTTTCCATTGGGACTTTTGTCTTCTTATCAGTTTTAAGACCTTTTTGTAAATCATGTAGATATTTACTATTATTTCTCATGTGTTACAAATGTTTTCGCCAATAGATCACTCCTCTACGGACCTTAATTATAGTATCTCTGACAACATAATTATTTCTAATGTTTAAAATACACAAAGCGGTGGTAGCTTAGTCAGTTGAGGGGCAGCCTCCTGATTTCAGCTCAGGTCATGGGTCTTGGGTCCTGGGATCCAGCCCCCAGTCAAGCGCCATGCTCAGCGGGGAGTCTGCTGGAGGACTCTCTCTCTCTCCCCCTCTTCCTCTGCCCCGCCCCATGCTCACTCAATCTCTCTCTCTCTCTGTCTGTCTAAAATGAATAAATAAATCTTTAAATAAAATAAAATACCCAAAGAGGGGCAGATGGCTGGCTCAGTTGAAGGAGTGTGAGACTCTTGATCTTGGGGTCGTGCATTCAAGCCCCACATTGGGTGTAGAGATTACTTAAAAACACACACACAAATAGGTCTGACTTTTCTAGGTTGTGGGTTTTCTATCTTGCTCACAGTGTGTGGGTGGTCTTTTAATTTTTTTCTACTGTGTTTCATATATCCTTTCACTCCATTTGTAAAATATTTTGGTATTTGGTGAGACAGTAGGATCACCCTTATTTTCTTCTAGATGGTGGACAAATTGTGCCAGCATCATTTGTTGGATTATGCATTTTTTTCCCATCTTCCATCACCCTTGTCAGTCTTTGTTAAGTTTTTGTATCTACTGGGAACTAGTTCTGGGCTAGCCATTCTGTTACACTTGGCTATTGTTTATTCTGACACCAAAAACATACTGTTTTTGTGACAACTGCTTTATAAGACATATCCGAGAAAACAAATACCAACCTCTCTATTTTTACTTCTCACAATTTTCTTGGATTTCCTAAGCATTTACTACCGAATTTGAATCTTAAGATCATTTTTCTCCCACTAAAAAACTGGTGGGACTCAAATTGTAACTGCAATAAATTTCTAAATTAATTTTTGAAGAACTGAAAATTTCACACATTACTCTTTCTCCATCTTTCCATTTGTTCTGATTTTGTGTTATGTTTTCAGTGTGTCTGTGTGTTTTTGTTTTCTTTAATTAGAGCCTATATTCACTATATTGCATTGCCTCCCCCATTGCAACTCAAAAACATAGATTGATGAGGCCCAGAAGGTCCATGAGAGGCTTCAATTTGAAATTTTGATGGCTGCAGGATGTAATCCATCTAGAGACCAAGCTCCTAGACCCATTTCAAATTTCATGGATGTGCTACATAACCCAGATATAAAATGGAGTTGACAAAGTAGTTCTTTTCTTTATTATTTTTATTTATTTATTTTAAAGCAAGTGCTTCACCTAACAGGGGGCTTGAACTCACAACCCTGAAGTCAAGAGTCCCATGTTCTATCAATTGAGCCAGCCAGGCGTTCCCTAAATTGACAAAGTATTACTGGGATCTGGAAACAGAGAAACCTGGAAATTCTCAATTTCCAGGATAGCATCTCATATTTATTCTCTCCCCCCTTTCCCCCCAACCCCGCAGTACTTGAAACGTAAATATCAAAACAAAGCATTGCCCCCAAAATATGCTCTGGAGCTACTGACCATCTATGCCTGGGAAATAAGTACAGACAAAAGCAACAATTTCAACCTGGGTGAAGGGTTTAGAGCTGTGATGGAACTCCTCATAGATTATGAAAACATCTGCATATATTGGACCAAGTACTATGATTTCCAAAATGAGACTGTCAGAATCTATCTCAAACAACAGTTGAAGGAACGCAGGTGAGTGTGTTGGGTGCATTATTTTCAGCGGCGAGGAACAGAAAACCCAACTCATACAGTTTTTTAAACAAGGGGAATTTATTGGCTTTTGGAACTGAGAAGTCCAAGGATAAATGAAGCTTCAGGTATGGTGTGATCCAGATGTTTGCTATTTCATCAGGGTCCCATCCTGTGAAATTGCTCAGCCCTGCCCTTCCCTGGGTTTTGCCTTTGAATTCAGACTAACATGACTACATCAGTTCCAGTCTCATCTGCACTCATCCCTTCCACTACAACAGGGAGAGTACCTTTGCCCTAGCCTTCTAAAGAGAATCCCCGAGATTCACTCTGTTTGGGTCAACTTGGGTTACACCTCTTATCATGAACCAAGAGGTTTGGTTGCAAGAAGGCCTCCCTACACAGAGGCATGCACAGTCCCATAGACTTGAAGGACAGACACCAGAGTCCTAAGTGTGTTGGAGATCCACTCCCTTTCTCTCTCCCAGGCCAGTTATCCTGGACCCAGCTGATCCTACCAACAACCTGGGAAGTAAAAAGGGATGGGACCTGGTGGCCAGAGAGGCTGTTCACTGCCTGAGGCAGGCCTGCTGCTGGACTGAAGACCCCAGCCAGGGCTGGCATGTACAGGTACAATCACCCCCACCCCTCAGTCATGACTCAGTGCTGACCTTACTTCAGCACACACACACATACACACACACACACACACACACACACACACACACACAC